AGGCCAGGCTTGCATCTCTTTTGATGGAAAGCAAGGAGTATTCAGAAGCACTAAGTCTCCTATCAGGCTTGATCAAGGAAGTGAGAAGGCTAGATGACAAGCTTCTCCTTGTGGACATAGATTTGTTGGAGAGCAAGCTCCATTTCTCTTTGAGAAATCTCCCTAAAGCCAAGGCTTCACTCACAGCTGCAAGAACAGCAGCCAATTCCATATATGTGCCTCCAGCTCAGCAGGGAACTATCGATTTGCAGAGTGGGATTCTTCATGCTGAAGAAAAGGACTACAAGACTGCTTATAGTTATTTCTTTGAAGCATTTGAAGCCTTCAATGCTCTTGAAGATCCTCGGGCTGTATTTAGCCTCAAGTATATGTTGCTGTGCAAAATCATGGTGAGCCAGGCTGATGATGTGGCAGGTATAATTTCATCAAAAGCAGGACTACAGTATGTGGGGCCCGAGCTGGATGCTATGAAAGCAGTTGCTGATGCTCACTCGAAGCGCTCTTTAAAGCTCTTTGAAACTGCTCTTCGGGATTTTAAGGCCCAGCTGGAGGAAGATCCCATTGTCCACAGGCACCTTTCATCCCTGTATGACACTCTGTTGGAACAGAATCTCTGCAGGTTGATTGAGCCTTTCTCAAGGGTGGAGATTGCTCATATCGCAGAACTCATTGAACTGCCAATCGATCATGTGGAAAAGAAACTGTCTCAGATGATTCTGGACAAGAAGTTTGCAGGGACTTTAGATCAGGGTGCTGGATGCCTCATCATTTTTGACGATCCCAAGACGGATGCAATCTACCCTGCAACATTGGAAACCATATCTAACATCGGCAAGGTTGTGGACAGCCTCTACGTGAGGTCTGCGAAGATAATGGCATGAGGTTGTAGGTTCAAGGAGGCAGTTTCCTGCCTTCGCTTCATTTCTTTTGGTTCTATTCTGAGTCGACACTGTGATGCCAGCAGTAATCCTTTCATTTTATGGTTGTAGACTAAATTGTACTGTGAGTTTGGTAGGTTCTACCATTTGGAGAATTTTCATTTTACACAAAGGAACTTGTATTGAGCCTACTCAGGTTGCTTGGATTTTACGTTAGAGGTTAACTTTGTTTAGGAAATGTGCCCTTTTACTGCGGTTTGTTGATTAATCCCCGTAATCCCTCCCCCTCTTCTCCCCCTTTCAGCAACTTTTCCAGAGTTTGAATTCTTCCGCTGTTTTCGTTGTGCACAGTAATCTTTGATTTTGTCACAAATTTAATTTACAGGGTACTGACCTTGGAGCCTAGATGGTATTGTTTTATCAGAAAAATAAAAGGAAAGTGAAAATTTCTTTATTTATAAAAGGAATGAGATTTTCTATTTAAACCTCATATTTTTCTTAGTTCACCCTATGTTCTAAGTTTATCTCAACTTTTAATTTAAATTTTTACAATTTCTGAAAAAACTTTACTATCTTTCCAAACTATCCTTAAATACATCTTAAGTTGAAAAAATAAAAAATAAAAGAAATTTTTCCCTTAGATGGGGAAGTGCGTTCTGCGAGCTCTAATGCTAATTGCTAGACATTTTATCATTTTCTCTGTTGAGTATTTAATAATGACAAAGAGGTATTTACAATGAGAATGATAATGAAGTTGGTAAGTACGTTTCGTGCGAGAGGAGATAAAATTGGTACTTGAGGTTGCTACACTTTGCACTAGGAGTAGGCCATCTGATTGGCCATCAATGAAGAATACATTGAAGCTTTTATCAGAGTGGAAAAACAACAAGAAAAATAACCCAACTATTGAAGCAGCAACAGCAGGATTATGATTTTAGATGCATACTGGAATTCCAGAAGTGACAATAATATTACTCTTCCCAGCAGAAATAAAACACAAACAAATGGAATCCCAAATCTGAACTTTAATACTTTCCAGATAAAGAGAACAGCTTTACCAAAACATCATGTATAAAAAATAAAAATAAAAGCAATCAACAACCAAGCAATCAACAAAGGGAAGAGAATAAGATCATTACAGTCAAACAATCAACAAGTTTTTTCATCAACTCCCACCCAGATTTTAAAGAGGCATGCTCGTCAATGTTTTACGTCTCTGGCAATACGATGTAGATGAATTTGTATTTTTCTAAAACTTAATATGAAGAGTGATGGAGTGTGTGAGTGTGTGTATAAATGTATTAGGATTAAGTATTAAGTTAGATGACTTATAACTTAATGATTTAAGTATTATAGTGAACTAAGAAAAATGTGGGATTTAAATAGAAAATCTCTATGATAATAATCATACAAAATTACAATTTATTGAGGGTCAGTTCAGTTCTATGAGAAGGGGAAAAGAAACAAGACGATCGAAACGCAGTGTCGTACAAGGAAAATACAAAAATATATGACATGGTAACTATAAAATCTACCGGGACGTTTTTTCGACGACTGTTCATTTTCCTTTTTTTAATTGAGCCTCCGAAATACCGAAATTACGGACGAGCTCTCGAAGTCGAATCTCGATTTCCGTCAACTGTGAGCTACAAGAAGACCAACAAAATCTGAAAATTTGAGGTTGGAGAACCAACAAAACAACCCAAAATCCCCTCTCAGACTCTTCTGATCGTTGTCTTCTCGATTCGAAAATTCTCAATTGAACCAGTGGGGATAGTGTGCCACGTATCAATCGAGATGAGTGAGGTGTTCGAAGGCTACGAGCGTCAGTACTGCGAGCTCTCCGCAAATCTCTCACGAAAATCTAACTCCGCCGCCCTTCTTCCTGACCATGGTATTATTCTATTGTTTCATTTTCTGCTAATTTAATAACTATCCGTACTGCCATGTCTCCGATTGTGGGTTTTTTGCGATATTATGCCCCAATGTTCTTAATTTATGAGATTTCATCAATTAGTAACAGTGATCGACTTGGAAGATTATGGCTGATAGGGAATTCTTTTGGGGGGCTTTATGGGTTTTCTTTTTTTGTTTGTTGTTCAAGTGGTTGTTAGAAAGTCAGGATCTTTAATGCATCCATGTATTTGTACGATTTGGTTTGGTTGTGATTTTTTTATGAAATGGGTTGTTGTTGTTGTGGGTCAATGTGACTTGCAGAGCAGAAGAAGCAGAGGTTTTCTGAGATTAAAGTTGGCTTGGACGATGCTGATGCTTTGGTAATATGCAGAACAAAAGTTTTCACTTCGTTTTCCTTTGCTGGAGAGCTTCTGGTCTCTTGTACTTTCCTTGTTTATACGAATGAGTGGTGTGATTTGTTTTTTCAGATTCGGAAAATGGACCTTGAGGCCAGAAGCTTGCAGCCGAGTGTAAAGGCCGTGCTTCTTGCTAAGCTAAGGGAATATAAATCCGATCTCAATAACTTGAAAAGGGAAATCAAAAGAATTACATCACCTGATGCTAATCAGGCTGCTCGCGAAGAGCTGTTGGAGTCCGGAATGGCTGATGTCCATGCGGTAAGTGTGGACTCTGTATGGATCATTAAACTTCAATTCTAGCTTAACTTAACCTTTGTGCCGAAGTATGAAATTTGATTTGAGGAATTGTATGCATTTATGACGTGCTGTAATGCAAATATCTGAATTCCCAACTATCCGGGGTGCCCTTTTTATTTCCCCCGTAATTTTCCTCTTGATTTATGACAAAGGCAACCACAAGGCCATTGTCATTTGTCCTCAATGGACTATTTACAAGTTAGATGTAATGTTTGTCTTTAGTTTTCTTTTCCTTCGGGAGAATAGAATAACTTTTCTTGGTGATTTATGTGGACAACAAAACAGGTTTCTTCTGATCAAAGAGAGAGAATGACAATGTCTGTTGAGAGATTAAATCAATCAAGTGATAGAATCACGGAGAGTAGGAGAACCATACTGGAGACTGAAGAGCTTGGTGTCTCCATTCTCCAAGATTTGCATCAACAACGGGAAACTCTCCTGCATTCCCATCAAAAAGTAAGTTTTAACTTTTTAATCATGTCTCTACTTAACTTAAGGTTCATGGGGTAGCCTGCCCTCCCCCTAAACTTTTCTTCGTTTTAAAAAAAAAAGAAAAAAAGATCCATGGTTGCATAGACTTCTTTTCGCTTCCCTGAAGTTGAATTCAGTGAGTTTCCCTTACATGCCATTCACATATTCCAATGCTGGAGTCATTCCTGCACTTTCTTGTTGAGGAACCAAAAACCTTACAAATAAAGTGGGGCTCATAACTCCAGTGGCAGTGCACCAAAAACCCAAGATATATAGTTGGGGTCTCGACCTAATATCATGCCAGGCCATAGGCCTCCTTTGAAAGAAAAAGAAAGAAGTTCTGACATATGATCTGAACAAGGCATCAGCATTAGTGAATTTGTTAATCTAAGGGTTTTGTGTTTTTCCTTTTGTCATTTGCAGCTTCATGGGGTAGATGACGCCATTGACAAGAGTAAAAGAGTTTTAACTGCCATGTCACGGAGGATGACCAAGCATAAATGGATCATCGGCTCAGTCATCGGAGCTCTTATCGTTGCAATCCTGTTTATTCTATATTTTAAGTTTTCTCATCATTAATGGATATCTGATACGAATACCATCTATGGTATAAGAGATTCTCTCTAGTGATTGTTGTATCTATACATATGCTCTATTGTCCAGAGAGTCATGAATCATATTTCCCCTATTTTATCTATACCTGTCCCCGTTTTGTAAATTTTTAGTGGAATGTTCAAGTCTTAAACACACAATGGCAGCGGGAGGGAGGCCTCAACTCAACTAATCTTGTGCGGCAGATATCTTTTAACAATTTGAAGAAAAATCATTATTCTGCTAACTTGCTAATTCATTCAATTTTCAAAACAAAATGACTTTTTTGGGGTGTCAATAACGGCTACTTTATTTTAAAAACCGTATAGTTTATGAAATAAACGGCAGTATTGAATGACTGTTTAAATCAAAGTTGTTCGTAACAATGGATTAGTAACTAGTGAATGTTTTAATTAATATGTTACACTAAGCAAATTAGTTAATGAGCATAGCGTGCATGACTTGCATATTAATAAACGAAGCATGCATCACCAACCGCAATGCATCCATCCATCCATCCATCCTCAAGATCGACCGATCCATCGTGACTCGATTCCCGTACCATAATTTTCGTAATATTCCAAGAATATCCGGACGATGAGAAAGATGGAGAATAGTAATAATATTAAGGGTTTGGTATGTTTGATGATTTTCTCATCGGCAATGGTAGTCTTGATATTCCCAGTCTCTGTAGGAGCCTCATGGAGATGCCTTGGAGCCACTGAATACAAATTCGTCATAGAAAACCACTTCGGGGAAGCCTTTATGCAGCAGCACTCACTGGATGATATAGAGTTTTATTGTCATTCAGCGTCGTCGAACCCTTGGACACTTAGCCACCCGTCCAAGGACTTCAGAAGAAAACGCATGACGCTTTTCAAATTGGTTGAGATTGGTATCTGCGGGGGGTGGTTGGAAGATGCTCCATCGTACAATTGTTCTGCATCCACCCAAGAGGGCAGGTGGAGTACTATTGACTTCCCAGTGCTTCGTCCAGAGTATGATTGTGTCAAGACCAAGCAGTTTTGTGAGTGGCACTTGCATGACGATCACGCACTTCTCTACTCACCCACCCAAAACTCCTGGTCTCGTTTCAATTACATTTAGTTTATGAGATCGATTTAGAATTCATGTTTATTTAGCGATTAATCTCAGATTTAGTCAGATTCTTAAACAAATAATTGCGATTTACGTGTGTGCGTGATGGACTAAAAATAAATGTGAATTTAGAGAATAAACACGCTATGATAGCAAGCATAGTGCTACGAGTTGATTCAAATTATAAATTATATACTAGATTTAGGGTTGATTGTCATTTTACCCAATGCATAAACAATTGTTATGTGGAGGAATTCAAAGCACTTTAAAACAAACATTTCATGCATTTTTGTTATAAGTATATTGGTACCTTCACCAAAGATCCAAATGATTTATGAAAAGTACTTGAAAATGTTCATTGAAGAGTACTAAATCTAAACAAATTCTTTCATAACTCAAAGAGTTTTAGGTTTTCTCCCAAATGTTGCTAGAGTTGTTTTTTATTATCTAAAAACACTTGTAGCCCTAGCCAATCCACAAGCATAGCTAAGTTAAACATGCATTTTTACTCATCATATTATACTCGATTATGTTAAAATCGTATTTATTATAAATACGTTGAAATTTTTATTAAAAATTTAAGTGCATTTAAAATGTTTGAGAGTGATTCTTCATGAAACATGTAAATTGCACTTGAATGCAACATGCATTTTTTGGAGTGTCAATTGAGATTAAATTTTAAATGAATAGAAACTCATCCTCTTGTAATTTAGACTATCATTTATATTTAAAAAAATTAGTAATAAAAATAATTCCCTTTAAAAAAATAATAGAAAGGCATAAAAAATGATGGGTCGGAGTTAAAAGACCCGTCCGTTTCACAGGCCCAATTCTCCCGGCCCCACCACCACAGACAGAGCTCCATGACTGGGGAAAAGAAATATCCGCAAACTCATTCAGCGATTCCAACCACCACCCACCCACCCAAGCAACACACAGATTGGAGAGACCCAAACGTAATTGCAATTTGCACCCTATTTATTTTCAAATTTTATTAATTTTACCCCCAAGGTCAAGCCCGCCATGGATTCTCTCTCATCGGTAAAAGTCTCGCCCTCCGCAGTCACCAACCCTCTCCGTCCACGGCGCCGCCGGCTCCCTCTCTCTTCTTGTTCACTCGGCAGCTTACACAATCGGAATCTCCACATCTCCTCCTCCGTCTTTGGAGTGCCGTGCTCTCCCGAGACTTCGTCTTATTCTAGAAGGAGGCTCGTGAGAGAAGTTTCTTGCCGGTCGAGCGGTGGCGGTGGGGCTGCCCCAGAGGACGATGACGCCGACGCCGATGACGACGGAAGTGAGCAGGTGGAGAGAGCGCTTCATCTGGATGGTAATATTCCCTCCACTTCCGATGAGTTCGTGAAACGCGTCTCTTCTCGTGCTTACGACATGCGGCGCCACCTCCAGCAGACCTTCGATTCCAGCAGCTACGATGGTACGGAATTTTCAATTTCCTTTGAGAGCTTTGGTTGAGTTTGAGATTTTGAGCTATCCTCCTTGCACAGATGCACTCTCCCTGCTCTCTGTTTTTGACGAGTGATCAATAAATTAATTGACATAGTTATTTTTATGGGAGTTTCACTAAAACACCCAAAATGGGGGTTGAAATTATAAAAAAACCCAAGCACTATTTAAACATATAAACACACCCAAAACCCATCATTACACACACTCAAAACCCATTTATAAACACACCCAAAAAGTTGACTTTGGGGTTGATTTTGGGTGTGTTTCTATGTTTAAATAGTGCTTAGGTTTTTTTATAAATACATGTCTAGGATTGGGTTTATTTATAAATTTGTATATTTTTATTTATTTGTTTGTTCCTGGTTTTTGCCCTTATTCATGTCCTCTGAAATTCATGATTCAATTTTGTTGGATGAATGTTATATGATATAAAAGTGTTATACAAACTTAACTGGATTCAAACATGACCTATGCTCTGTTTGTTTGTGTTCTACCAATTATCATTTCCAAAATATATATATGCAAATGAAGAGTTGCAAAAACAGAGTTATGGGTACAGGTTTTGATCGAGTTTGAGACTTGTGGTTATACAGTTGAGTTGAGTGTTGGTCTCTGATCTATTTGATCATTGCTTTGCCCTTTCTCTATTCTTGTTCAGTGCTGGAGGCCAACCCTTGGAGAGAAACTTCCAAGCCTGTGTATGTACTAACGCAAAGGGAAAACCTGTTGTGCACCATGAAAACCCGAAGAAATCGCAGGTCTCCCTCCTCTGCTCTTCTCTGTGTGTGCTTCTTTTCTCTTCATTGGTCATAATTGTTGTTATTTGTGGACTGAATTAGTCCCTAGGTTTGGTGACATATTGGTGGGTTATATGTGACAGTGAAGTTGAAACGGAGCTTGGGAAATTGTTTTCCAAAGGATCAAAGTGGAACCAAACGAAACAGCCAAGAAACGGTACAAAGTTCCAGATGCTTGTGGAGGATATTAGGGATGGAGTGCTTGTAAGCATTTTTGTTTCTTTTTCTATTGACTTCAATCCATGAATTGTTGATTGCATAGAAAGTTTCATTTCCTAGGACTTCTGAGCTCGGGCTTCACCTAAGGTTGCATATGATTCACACATTCCAATGGCATTTGCAGGTTTTTGAGGATGAGAATGAAGCTGTAAGGTATTGTGACTTGTTGCAAGGAGGCGGCCAAGGTTGTGAAGGTGTTGCAGAAATAGAGGCCTCATCAGTAAGAAACAGAGAGCCATCTTTAAATTTGGCAGTGGATGATGGTTTTGCTTTGCAAAAGTGTAACAATGGTTTGGTTGTCTTTAAAATGTAGGTATTCGATCTGTGCCAGAAAATGAGAGCTCTTGCAGTTCTTTTCCGTCGCGGGAGAAGCCCACCTCTGCCTCAAAGCCTGGAGCTCAACCTCAGGGCTCGGAAGCGCTCCCTTGAAGACCAACAAGACCCATAAAGATTACTTGATATGAAAGTTCCTGCTTGGAATTGTATATTTATAACAAACCACTCTCCTATACAACTCTAATACATGCCCCGGCTCTGTAAACTGTAATTTTTATATTGATTCTAATTTCTGGGGTTCTTCAGTTTTCATCTTTTCAACTCAATTGAGCAAAGTACCGTGCCGAGGTGGATTTGTATAAGAAATTTCCAGATCCAAACAGTCTCCCCAGCTCCCACCCATATTTCATATTTGGCGGCCGTATTAATTCACCGACCCAAACACAATCAATGAACATGAAACAAAAATTTAAAAGAGAAGCAGACGTGTGTTAGATGGTAGCCTCCTTTGTTAAACTACCCTGGCTTAACTTGGAAAGCTTCCAGGGCATCTCAAACGCGCTATGCTGCGACTGTAGCACATAGTTTCCCATATCCCAGCGCCTGTTGAGAAAGACTTAGCCCTTTCCTGAATTAATCACCATCTTTGTGTAATTCCCTGATTCTGGCTCAGTTAGTTCGCGCCACGTCTAGGCTAGTTGGTTGAGACAATAGACTACTTCTCTTACATGAAAAAATTATAGAAGGAAAGGAAAAAAAGGTCCAAATAGGAAAATGGCATTAACACATGATTCTCATGGGCCACACTAACAAAAAGCCAAAAGATAAAACAAGTGAGAAAAGAATGAGATTCCGTTGAAAAAGTAAGAGCAGCCAGTTTTTAATATTTTCCCACAAACTTGTCCCTTTGTTATCAAATAAGTAAAGAAACTGCTTGGTCACATTTATCCACTACTTCTCTATTAAAGGTAGATCTTATTGTATTGTTAGGCCCTGTCTATATTAAAAGCAAGTGACACACAACACAACGCGCGCGATATATAAATGTGATAAGCCTTGCGTTATCCGTAAGTAAACATAACCAACGAAACCGACCGACTGCGAAAGTCGTCCCACCTTCTCTTCAGCACCAAAACAAGAAGACAAGAAGCCAAAAAACAATTAGTTAAAAATAAAATAAAATAAGAGCATTTGGCTGGGCACACTTCACTTGAATCCATTCACATTCCGATTTCCGATCCGCCCCGACTTCACTCATGAGCTCCAGCGCGTCCGATTCCTCTGGAGGCCCCTGCGCTTCGACGCCGCCCGCCGACAAGGACAAGCAGAAGGAGAAGGCCCGCGTCAGCCGTCCCTCTCTCATACTCTGGCACGCCCACCACAACGACGTCGCCGCCGTCCGCAAGCTCCTCGAGGAGGATCGCTCTCTCGTCCACGCCCGCGACTACGACAACCGCACTCCGCTCCACGTGGCTTCCCTCCACGGCTGGATCGACGTCGCCAATTGCCTTATTGAGTATGGCGCCGATGTCAACGCCCAAGATCGCTGGAAAAACACCGTTTTGATCTTCAACCTTCTATTATTCTTAATTAATTAATTAATTAATTGCAATGCTTAATTATGTGTAATTGTAATTTTTTAAGTATTATCAGGTTTTAATTTTGTTAATGTTGATGGCAGCCTCTAGCTGATGCAGAAGGAGCTAAGAAGCATACAATGATTGAGCTTCTAAAATCGTATGGTGGCTTGTCTTATGTAAGTCTGTTGTTCATAGAGTGGAGTTTTTCGGTTTTATTTGGTTTTGTGTGCTCTAATTCTCTGTTTGAGTGTGCAGGGCCAAAATGGAAGCCATTTCGAACCGAAACCGGTGCCACCCCCTCTGCCCAACAAGTGTGATTGGGAAATTGAACCGTCTGAGCTCGACTTCTCCAGCTCAGTTACCATCGGAAAGGTCTGAATTTCTTTTCAATTGACGAGTTTTATACGTTATTCAAAGATATCGTACGGTTTAAATATTTGATTCGTTTTGTAACGCAGTGCTATATAAATCTTCATACTTGGTTTCTCACATGTGTGGTTTTTATTTTAAAATGTTCTGTTGTTATGATAAATTCACTATATCTTTTGTTATTCTCTGTTTCACATGCTAAATATAGTAGGTTCCTTTGAGCTCCCTAAAAGTCAGACCCCATTTCCTCCGATGTAGTTTCTTGCTCTTTTGTGCCAATGATTTCTTGGATTTTTCCTTTCTTTTCCAAGTTGAAGTTGTTGTGGTCAGCTCATAGTTTTATTACCGTACTAGCTCCTGTGTTTCCATAATCTATCTGCATTCTGCCATATGCCAAGATACAACCTCAACTTGATCGGTGGTGCTTGTAGGGTTCTTTTGGTGAGATTTTAAAAGCACATTGGCGTGGAACACCAGTAGCTGTCAAACGCATTCTTCCATCCCTTTCGGGTGATAGATTGGTGATGTAAGTTCAACTTCATTTTTATGTAAAAAAAGTAGTTACCACTTAGTTGCTGTGGAAGTTTTCTTTTGAGTTAATACTCCTTCGTTATGTTACTTTTAATTTATTTTATGAACTGTGTTGGATTGACAAATGAACAATCAAACTCATAATTTAATTTTTTAAGGCTCTTTAAACAATTTATGCATCATTCTTTCATAGAAATGACAACTTTATCAATCAAAAGATACTTTTCGTATATCAAATTTTTTGGGAGGTGACCTCCTCCATGAAACATGTAATGTTGAAATTACAATCAGCATATCTTTCTTTACCTCCACTTTTCCATCATATTAAAAAGTTGTGAATTTCTGACTTGTTCTTTGCTTTCCTGATACAGTCAGGACTTCCGTCATGAAGTTAATTTGCTAGTGAAGCTTCGTCACCCTAATATAGTCCAATTTCTTGGAGCTGTTACTGAGAAGAAGCCCCTTATGCTAATAACGGAATATTTAAGAGGGGTATACTTGTGCATCTTCAATTTGTGTTCCGAGTTTTTTATTCTCTCTGTCAAAGTTCTTTGTGGTGGTCTTTAATCTGTGTTGCTAAGAAACTGCTTCTTAAATAATGTATTGTCTGCTGTTGTAGGGTGATCTTCATCAATACCTCAAGGAAAAGGGTGCACTTAGTCCTTCAACAGCTATCAACTTTGCCTTAGACATTGCCCGGTACTTTAATGGAACTTCAATCAACTTATTGCCTTAGTTTAAAGAAATCTTTTGCAGATGCTATGAAATAATTTTTTTCATGAGAGATAGATGGCTGATATTGTCATCCGGTTGGAGTTCTAGTTGCATGGGAAATTTAGTTCTTCAGTATAGTAATCATTACATCTTTTGCTGTTTGGAAAGTGCAGAGATGGAGTCATACTAGCACATGCATCAAACTTATTTGCTTCTCCCAATTTTTCCCTCTAACATGTCTGTGCTTCTCGGAAATGAAAAATGTTGTAATTATGGACTTTGGGAGATTTCAAATATTTTAAATACACTGTTCATAATTGTTGGTTGTGACCATAAAGACTGAATATGCGATCTTTTGGTGGTAAATAGTGTCTTCATGAGATAATTAAATCAAGAACACACTTGCATAAGTCTTCATGTTTCATTCTAAAACAGAGAGCTCTTATAGCTTGCTTCTGAATAAATAAATAACAACCATTCCTAGTTAAGGTAATTATCTTAATTTTTGCAGGAAGTTCTTGTTGAAGTATGGGCTGGTTTTTGCCTCTAGTTTTCTCATAATATGCTGTTTTTGTTAATATGGGAAAAACAAGAATGAGAGAAGTGAAAATGTGTTTTTAATTTATGATTGGCCAAAAATTTTAACTAATATGAAATTTAGTATTTTTGATAATTTTGCTAATCTGAGTTCCTAAATCTCAATGTGGCCAGAGGCATGGCTTATCTTCACAACGAGCCAAATGTCATAATTCACCGAGACCTGAAACCAAGGTGAGTTGATATGTGTAGAATTTGGTATGCATATGTTGTTTTTAATTAATAACTGTTCAAACAGAATGGCCTAGAGGAATTATCTTCATAGGATGAAAGAAATTCTGGATTTGTGCAAATTTACGATTTCCTTTTCTATTTCTCCAGTCTTGTTTCCATCCCTGTAAACACGTGGCTTGCTTGCAGTATTTTATATTGTTACTTCTAAATTTTGTTTCATTATTGCAGGAATGTTCTCTTAGTCAATTCCAGTGCAGACCATTTAAAAGTTGGAGATTTTGGACTAAGCAAGCTCATCAAGGTTCAGAATTCTCATGATGTGTACAAGATGACTGGCGAAACTGGAAGTTGTGAGTGTCTTTAGAAATTTACGATTGAATTAAAGTTGCTGTTGAATAAAATAAATCATGAAAGTAAAAAATATTTGTGTGTTTTGCATTGGAACCAATGAAAGACCGCTATATGGCTCCTGAAGTTTTTAAGCACCGGAGATATGATAAGAAGGTTGATGTGTTCTCTTTTGCAATGATATTATATGAGGTAATGTTGCTTTGTGCAAGATATGAAATTCAGATTCACCCTTAAAACAGTAAGATGTAAAATGATTTATTCCAGTCCTGATCTATGACACTCTCAACTGGTGCAGATGCTTGAAGGGGACCCACCGCTATCAAACTACGAGCCTTATGAAGCAGCCAAATATGTGGCAGAAGGACACAGGCCATTGTTTCATGGAAAAGGGCACACCCCTGAACTGAAAGAGTAAGTTAATACTGTAATTTCAAATCAACCAAAACGTTCCCTTCTTTCGTGCTATTCCACATACAATTACCTTTCATCATTGAGAAAGAGTGGCATTTGCGTTGCTAATTTAAATTGAATACCCTTCATGCTTTAATACAAGTACTGAAACTTGAACTGCGAGTCGTTTATTTCTTTCCATTGAATGTTTTACAGGTTAATAGAGCAGTGTTGGGCTGCTGACATGAACCAAAGACCATCTTTCTTGGAAATTCTCAAAAGGCTTGAGAAGATAAAGGAAAAAACTTTACAGGCAGATCATCACTGGAACATATTTAATACGTAAACTTGAAAGTGATGGCGCTGTCAGGTACATAAGGGATCCTCTGCCAGTCACTTGTAGTCCCAAAATGTGCAGATGGGATTGTGAATAGGCCTAAAGTGAGAAAGCGTGCGATTGTGACTATTGTTCTACAGTATTCTGCTTCAGATTCTTATTGTGAACGGAGGAGGTATTTTCCTCTGTTTCTGCATAACAGTGTGCCTTTGTCTGAACAAACTTATCCAGAAAATCTCGTCGGATTAACATATATATAGAGATTTTCATGTTTTGACTGGATAATCTCCTTTTCGTATCTTTCAATTGTAATTTGTTGTAGCCATTTTAAGTGATGTTGAGAACAGATATAATGTTAGACAAGATTATATCTAATCTTCTCTTGTCTTGTCTTGCTTTAATAATTGAATAAAAGTTCTCCGCTTTGGAATGATACGATATCAGTTTTTCCAACTGATAGACGAGAAGCTCGTCACTTATTTTGGGGGTTTTCAGAGTCATTATCCAGTGAACTCACCAAAACAAATCAATTACGAAATTATTATGGGTAGAAAGCCCAAGGTAACACAAAATACACGCCCAAAGCTAGAGCAAGAAATGAGTAACAAAACTAGCAAACTGTAATCCAGATGGCCAAATTTCTTTGAAGCCATCCCCCTTCGACTGAAACCTAAAGGTTGCCCATGTTATACGTTTGGATACTTTGAAGATAAGAGAAGAAGAGAAATTGGTATGTATTCCGTAACACGAAGATAATTTTCAAGCGTGGCAGAGCTGATACAAAAACAGAAACCTTCTGTGAGTGAAAATGATACGAGAATTAACTTAAAACTTGTAATCAGTCATTGCATGTTACTGGAATACAAGATGGCTATTATCAACTTCAAAACAACTCTTGTGCTGTAGTCAAGATTTGGTTGTCCTACTTCATCTAACAATCTGATCTGATAATTATTATATTCCAACGTACAATGTTCTGTAAAATATTTTACAAAAAGCATTAAAAGATGGAATTATGAAACTCCTCTCTGGAACTGGAATACTCTTTTTCTTTTCTTTTCTGGCAATGCCCCTCTCTGGAATAAAATTAGATGAGCTTCTTTTTCTCAAAAAAGGTCTTCAAGTGCCACCATTGCAAAGCTGCAACCGATGAGCAAACGAGAAGCGAGAGCAAACTAAACCAGGCCATTCTGGAGTTCGTTGTTCTGTTAAGCTCCTGCATTTCTTCTTCCCTGAAACAAACATTAAGCCCCAAAAAAATGACAAACTGACGAATATCCGTGTTCCACGAAATGTTCAAAGGAAAGAGAACGATTGCTTACCTTTGACGGAGATAGAACATTTCCTCATGAATGGAAGTAACAGTATCAAACAACTTTTTAAGCTCTAATTCCATAACCTGGCATTTTAAGAAGAAAAAAAAGGCATAAGATGGTCTCTACATCTCAACTCTCACAATTGCAAACAAAATCATTTGGGGAAGAAAATTTACTACATTATTACAAAAATACATGCTTTCTTCCTTGTGTGAAACCACAAATTTCAAACAAAATCCATCTTAACAATGGTTTAGATTGATTCACAATAAAACATATATTGCTCAAGCAACACATACAGAAACTAAGAAAAGCAATCAGACAATAATACATAGATCAATCAGAGTTGATTCACAATTCCCATGTTACCAAACATCCAAGGAAACCAACTTCATTATGAACATAAACTAAATTCAATCGTTGTAAAAACAATATGACTCAATCGCGGATTATGTTAAAAAAAAACGTATATGAATAAGCAAGTAAATGTGAAGAAAAGGAAAAGGCTTACATCGACAGAGCCTTTCTTGGCCACATTGGACCAGTCTTTAGCGGCGACGCCGGTCTTCCAATCGAATTCAATGGTCAACGTAATTTGGGGCTTGTGATCAGGCGCCCAGAAGCAGGCCATGTAATCTCCCGCCTCCGCCGCCACAAATGCGAACTGCCCCGATTCCACCAGCTCCGAGTAATGATAGTTATTCCCATAGTGCGACGTCACCTTCACATCGAAAATTCAATCTTTGTTTGTTTTCTTAATAAATAAATAAGTAGCCAAATTTGAAGAAATTAATTGAAGCGTACCCTGACGGTGAGCTTGTGAGAATCGGGAATGGGGTGGCCTTCGTTAGGGTTGACGACGCTGTACTTACCGACCGTCATGGCATTGGCTTTTATGTCTTCCACGATGCATTTGGTATGGCCCGATTGCAGCTCGAACCGCAGAGATTCCGATGTAGACGACAGAAACCCTAGGATTACAGCAGCAACAAGCAGACGCAACCCAGCCATGTTGTGAGTGACTCAGAGTGGACTCGGACTCCGACCCGGAGAGAAATTTGGGAGAAAGGGGGGTTTTCGATCTTCGTTCTCTTCGGAGAAGAGTCGGAATCTGGAATCCAAGTGTAGATTTCACGCTTTGGGCCATTGGGCCTGTGAGGCTTTTAGGTCAGACTCGACACGTGTTTCTCTCTGATTCGCTGGGACACGTAATTCAAAAGGTTGGAGTGTTGGTCTCTTTTCGGCATTTTTTTTTTTTTTTTTTTGGGGGTAATAAATATTTTGGGCCAATGTGGGAGTTTGACAGAATCAAATATTTGGCCCAATTTTGAGATAGAATTAACTTTGCCAATAGCAGCCCTTTTCAATGTAGGGGCCAGCCAACAATGTGATATAAGGAGTTAAAGTAAGGGGGTTATTTGAGGAGACCGATCCGACCGTCAAAACATTTAAAATATTTAAGTCCCATGATTTCTTTACATTTGTTGATGGTGAGATTTGACCTCCTCAAATAACCTCCTCACTTTAAGCCCTCATTATAGCATTTCCGATAGGACTATAGGGTTTTTGTTTTGTTTTTGCAAAGTTTTATCCTTACTATTTTAATGTGTTAAACGGGTCGTATGCAAGGGGGTTTGATCAACTGGCTTAACTCACGTCTGATCTAAGACAATAAATTTCAGCAAAGAGAAAGTTGAAAACATATTTTTGTAATAAAAGAATTTCAAAATATATTTAAGAAAGAAACATGGATTTCCACAAAAAGAAAAAGAAAAAAAAGAAACATGGATTTCATGTTGAGATGCAATTTACAATACGAATGCTGCCTGCAAAATCCATTAGATAATTCAACCAAGGGTTCCCAAAAATTGCCATCCAGCTTGCCTCCTATGACAGTGTTAATGCATGCAAGGTCAGATGTGCTTTGTCTTCATATGTAAGTGTAAGATCATTATCAGCATTTACTGCATATTTAATACAGCATATTAAAAAAAATTAAAGCTTTGGCCGTGACTATTATTTTTCATCATCCTTACATTAATTTGGAATTTGCTGTCAAGCTTTCAATTCTGGAATCTGGATTGACAATGTAGTGGTCTGTACCTTTCTTAAACTGAATAAGCTTTGGTGCTTTTCACTGTCATTGTCATAACAAACTCATAGGCCATCCGTAAAATAAAAAATCATCTAGATTCGTATTAGATAAAACGGAAACGAAGATGTGGATAATCAAATGATAAACACTTTTTAATTTAGCCGATTTCTTGCATAAATGATTCTTGAAAGAGAACCTCAAAATTGAACATTCCGATCATGGTTACTTTGAATTGGGAAAATATATGATGATGCATTGTCCTTGTTACTTTGTCAGTGTCTCCCTAAATTATACAAGCATCATGATTCATGACATTTCTGCACTTCACCTACGTTCCACGCACACAAAGTACACAATACAAATTATAATTACTTCACAGACTCACCAGCCACTGCTTTTTTTGCCCTCTTGCCTCACGTTTTCAAAAACTGAGAGTCAAAACCTCTCGTGAAAGGAAAGCTTTGCATTGAGAAAAAGGGAATTGATGAACTATCTGAAAAATCCAAAAGGGGCTTCCTCCTAAATCCCAAAAACAGAATTGACACAACAAGGTTTCATGTTTTTCATGCGCATACACTATTATAAGACCAGCCAGCGTTTCCTTAAAGTTATCAACCGTGTTTATTCTCAGCTGTCTGTTGACAGCTTTATGGCTGTATGTCAACTGTCTATTGACAGCTTCAGTTCGTTTTCTCTTACGTTATTGGTTTTGCCAAAATTTACCAACCTTTGTTAAAATACAAATTTATCTCAGATACGCAATGCATGCGCTGCGTTACTTTAGTCCATGCTATGCTTGAAACAAAGCGTGTGTAAAGTAATGTTCTTTTTCATAACACTCGTAGAATGAGAGAATGAGAGTCAAACTTTAATTCGATACGTACGACGGTAAAATGTTCTCCGTTTTTAGAACTTAAACTTGTTTATTTAACTAACAAAGTAAAAGATGGACTGATTACAAAGCTACAACAATAAATAAAAAACTGAAAACCAAAACCAGAATTGCACATAAAACTCCACAAAATCATCGGATGCTTCGTTAGTCGGCAAAGGGATTGGCGCATGCTATATATAATATAAGTTATAACCAATCAACAAAAAGGGATCACTAGTTTTCTAATCATCTTGATTTCCAGGACTCCTAAGCCTAACCCTCGTATTTTAATTTGGCTTAATTATTAAAATACCTTGAATTCATCAATCAATTTGCATATCTTATCATTAAAATGAAGGCTGATAGGAGACTTTATGTATCGCAAAAGACATGCATGCCTTATCAAACTGCATCATACAAAAATAAATATACGGGCAGGTTGGTGGTTTGAATTTTATCCTATTGTTTTATTATGTCACATAGAAAAATTATAATTTATTCCTTAATTAGGAGGAGGAGAATCTGAGAATAAAAAAGCAGATCAAGGCTTTCCTCTTTGCACTGTATACTTTAATAAGCGATCCAATCTTACAGGTAAAAAAACAAATTTGACAGCACTTACTGCCCAAAAAAAAATAAAAATGACAGCGCTTATCAGAAGGCACAACTAAATTCCAGTAAAACTGTGTAATTTGCAGTGTATGTATTGTGATAGGAACAATTCGGACTCGTGAGAACCGGAGGGTGGGATCTTTCTCCCGAACGCTTTCGCTACAAAAAGACCTGAATCCAACCAACAAATATTCTTTTTATTATTTTCCTCTCGTATTGATTTATTTTTTTATTTTATAAAAAAAAGTTCATACAGCAAGTGGCCGAGAAAAAGAAGATTTTCCCGGAAAAAGGAAAGGAAATCAGAAAGTGTCTGGCGGTTGCATTGGGTTGTTGAGATTTTTAATTGGGTTATCCATTTTACTCGTGATTTTCAACCTCCTAACTCTCTCTCCACCGATCCTTGGCAAAAGTTCTGTTCTTTGTTCTGTTTCAAAATCTAGGCTTCGGCCGAGCTAGGGCTAAGGTTCCCAAGTGTGTTGATTTGACAATGTGTGCTTGAGATTGGGGATTTCATGAGCTGAACTTCATCGGGCATTTGGGAATTTTGGGATTGATCGATGAAACGGCGATGTGGTGTGTGAAAGAGGAATGGAGGTTAGATCTGAGGGTGGCATACAGGTGCGTTGCGATAAGCTTCCGGCGCCGGTGATTGCGAGAACGCGTCTACAGGTGTGGTTCATCCGGGTGTGTTCAAGCTTGTTTCTTTGGACGTGTTTGGTTCAGTTAGTGGCGGTTGGTGAGCTATGGCATCCACATTTGCTCTCCAATATAACCAATCGTATTTCGGCAATTACGCAGGATCCACTTCCGGCGGTTCCGTCGCCGCCGCCTCTTCTCCCTGCAAGTGAGTTTTTAGATTAAAAAAGATTTTTTTTTAAAAATACTGAAAATTGTTCAAATAGTGCAGAGTATCTTTGTTACTGTTACTAGCATTGAGCTTGAATGCGATTGTTCTAGTTCATAATTAGAGAGTAGTGCACATGGATATGGCTCCCTCAGTTGAGGGCTGCACATTCTAGTGTTTTTATGTACGCATGAATTTGAATGTTTTAGTTCGTGAATTGAGAGTTCTGGCACATGAAATTTGCGCTTGCTATCCCATTTGACAATGCAGGATCGCTGTGTATAAATTTGGAGAATTTGAGGTCAAGGATAAGTGGATAGGATTATTTTTAGTTATGGAATGGAGAAATCTTATTTTTAGGGTAAGGTGTGTTTATATAGATTGATGTCTAATATTTGTTGGCACCAGGCCTGCAGTCTTTAAGAGGTGTGTGTGGTGGTATCAGTGACGTATGAAATGAATGCTTACAAAAACAATAGTTTTGGAACTCCGTTTACTGTTGAAAGTTACAGTTGGCTTTCATGAGAAGCTCATTCTTTCAAAGTAATTATGAAATAGGTTGTGTGGTAAATGTACTGTACTATGTTGAAGTTGCCCACAAATTACCCTAAGTTATGGAAAAATTATTTTCTTCGACCAACAATGGTTCATCTTTTGTTTGTTGCTTTTTTACATTCCCACATATGTGAGAGAAGCAATCTCATGCATGCTCTGTGTGTGGTAAGGCTAATATGTGCAATATGAAGTTGAAAAATAGGCCTAATGACCTGATTTTTTGCAGGAAATTATACAAGTAATGGGTTTCTTAGAGTTTCCTGCAATGGGGGCTTGAATCAAATGCGTGCTGCGGTTTGTGCTGTGTTTTTCTTTTCTTTTCCTTCTTCCTTTATCCCATATCTAGCTATTGATAGCAACTTTTGCATTTCAGATCTGCGACATGGTGACTGTTGCTCGGCTTTTAAATCTCACATTGGTTGTTCCAGAGCTTGATAAGACATCTTTCTGGGCTGATCCTAGGTATAATCATTGATCTAAATGGAACTGTGATTTAACGAACTCCTTTAATTGCTGCTTTAGGATTTCAACTGTTAGTATTCTTTTTGCAGTAATTTTGAGGATATCTTTGATGTAAGACATTTCATTGATTCGCTGAGAGATGAAGTCCGAATTGTCAGAAGACTGCCGAAAATGTTTAGTAGGAAATATGGACATAAACCATTCGAGATGCCTCCTGTTAGTTGGTCAAACGAAAAATATTATCTGGAACAGGTTTGTATACTTGTTTGCCAGTTTATTTTGGGGAAGAATATATTGCTTATGAAGTTAACAACTTTCTTTAAATTATGTTAGCTCCTCATCATCCTATGCATTGCATGCATTCACTTGTGCCTAATTTAGATATGTAATTAGAACATATTCCAAATTGTAGTGTGATCAAATTTATATTTTTGTTTTTTGGGCCTAAGTGAGTTTATCTTTCTTTCTACTTCCTGATTGAATGCATTTGATTCCATTATGTAGAAGTTTTAACTTTTAAGTGATGCGTCCTGATTCAGTGCCTTGATTCCATTGTATGCAGATTTTGCCACTTATTAGCAAGCACAAGGTGTTGCACTTTAATAGAACGGATGCACGTGTGGCAAACAATTGGATACCTCTTGATCTTCAGAAACTCAGGTGTCGTGTTAATTTCCAGGCGCTGAAGTTCACTCCTCAGATTGAGACTTTGGGGTACAAATTGGTTCGTATACTCCAGGAGAAGGGACCTTTTGTGGCTTTGCATCTAAGGTATGAGATGGACATGTTGGCTTTCTCAGGTTGCACTCATGGATGCACTGAGGAAGAAGCTGCGGAGCTCAAACGATTGAGGTTTGTCATGTTTAAAATTTGACAATAGTTTTTTGAATGCTTACTTGAAAATCTGATGAACGCTTATCATGAGTAAAATTTTTATTTGGCTTGCTTGATTTTTAAACAGGCATATGCTTCAAACAATACTGTTCATATGAAGAAAATATTACTGTTGCTAATAGATGATATAACAGTTGACAAAGAAAATGCATGACTCATAGATTTCTGTTCTTTCCCACCTTGTGTTTCTTGTGCCTTAGGCTCTTGGTGGAGCAGGATTATTACCTTTAATCATCCTGGCTAAAGTTTTCTTTTGTCTACTTTACACGAGTTTCTTATGACCGAGGTTGGTTATATTGAGTTGTACTCACTTGCAATGTCTGTTGGCATACCTTTCATTCAGATATGCATATCCTTGGTGGAGAGAGAAAGAGATAGTGTCTGAAGAGAAGAGATCACACGGTTTGTGTCCTCTGACACCTGAGGAGAGTGCATTACTTTTGCAAGCATTGGATTTTCATAAGGACACACAGATCTATATAGCAGCTGGTGAGATTTATGGTAGTGAAAGGAGACTTGCCCCGTTAAGATCTGCATTTCCACGAATTGTGAGTTCGTTTGCTTTATTCTGTAGCCTTTTTACTTTTGCGGATTCGGGACTTCTGATATTAGTAACTTTGCTGACTGTTAACACGTGTGCTTTGCCACAATTCTGGTTATCCTTGTATCATAAGTAATACCTTGTCAAGACTTAGGTCATATAGACACCTTTCCTACTCGTTTGGTGGTCAAGGTCCATCACTGGAGTTGAGGGTGCCCTTTGATGGGTTTACCTGAATTCATGAAAAGCTAATTGTTGTTCAAACTCTAGTTCTAACCAGTGGGGAATCCATTGTCATTTACCTGTTTATTTGATAAAAGCAGAGGATCTGAGAGGTCCCATTGAAGGGTCCAACTTGACCCTAAAATATTTATGTCCATACTGGCTATGTACTTGTTGTGGTCTTCGTAAAATAATGTTTTCTTACTTGTTTACTTCAGGTTAAAAAAGAAAGTCTTCTCTCCCCGGAGGAGTTGCAACAATTTCAGAATCATTCATCTCAAATGGCTGCTTTGGATTTTATAGTTTCAGTAGCTAGTAATACTTTCGTTCCTACATATGATGGGAACATGGCAAAACTTGTTGAAGGTCACCGAAGGTATGTGAACACACTCTCACAAGGTGGGATGGGTTTTTGTTTTATAAAATACCAAAGAAATACACACCTCTAATTATATTTCGTGCAGGTACCTTGGGTTTAAGAAAAGCATCTTGCTAGATAGGAAAAGACTTGTGGAGTTGTTGGACATGCATCTGAATGGGACACTTTCATGGAATGAGTTTTCAGTTGCTGTACGATCCACTCATGAGAAGAGAATGGGACAGCCAACTCGACGTCGAGTTATTGCAGACAAGCCGAAGGAGGAAGATTATTTTTATGCAAATCCTCAAGAGTGCCTCTGCGAGGGAACAAATTGTGACAACTTGCTTAGCCCTAGCAACTCAAGTGAAGTTGGGTGACTGCAAGCGATCAAATCTGGAACCTCCTTCAACACAATTGTTTTAAGAGAGTGGTCAACAAATCCATGTGGCAGTGGCTTTCATATTAGTAAGCATGTACACACACATGAGAGTTTTGTAGGAAACGGCATAAAAAGACTTGAGTTCCCGATTTGGGCTTCTAAAGATGTATTCATTCGTTTTCAATCTTTAAATTTGTCCATAAATTTGTTTGTTTTCTTCATGTATTTGACAACTTGACATGAATTCACTGCTGTTCAGTTCTATAAATTATAATTAACACGAGTACAGTCGAAAAAGTTTGTCCCGTTCATGAGAAACAAAAATGAGTGATGCAATTAATTACCACATGAATTTGACGCTTCTGCACGGATTCATCTAGTTTGATCAGTTAAGGTATAATTAAAAACCAAGAACAAAAAATAGAATGAGTACCCAAGGAGTAGCTCCAAGAAGCCGGAAAAAAAATAAAATCTCTGGGATATGCTTCTGGGATCCGTCATTTTCTCATTCCAACCTTCACAGAATTCTGGCATTTTTAGCAAGGTAAACTGTAAACTAGAACTACTTATGACTTCTCAGTGACATGAATTTGCCCTACTTGGGCTCCCAGAAGATGATGTCTTCTAGCTCCCCGCAGAGGCCAAGATCCTTGAGCCTCCTTTCCTGGTAGTATTCCAATTGACGTAGTTCTGACTCCCTATCCTTGAAAATCCCATCAATATGCTGAAGCACCTTCTTCTCTCCATGTCTTATTCCTACTGCAATCTCAAGCCTTGGATCCAGTTTTGATTCTTTTAACTTCTCATCCTGCAATGAAACAATGTGCATTCAGTTGTTACAAGCCTACACCACTGGCTTGAAGCCTTAGAGAAAAGTTCCGGTGCCACAAGGAGAATGGGCACAAATAAAAGCATACCTCTTCAATGGTGGTGGGATAGGCAGAAAGAGCAGATTTGCAGGCTTCGCGTACCACTCGACATATGAGCTCTTCATTGGCAGGGCTCACAGGCAGCTCAAGGTGTCCCCAGATAGTGTTCCTGAATATAGATTCCAAGAGGAAAGCATCGGTACCTCCAAGAGCTACCAGCCGCAGATATGGAATCAATGCAGGTGGGAGTGAACGGTCCAAAAATATGTCGAAGTATGCAGTTGCTCCCAAACCATTAGACTCAGCAATGTCCAGCTTGTCACCATAAAATGGGTCTGACTCGGATATTTCCAGTGTTAAGGTAAATGCATCGCGATTTGCATTGGAAGAATCTATAAATCCGTAATCCAAAGCAAACTCAGCATTGCTCTTGTTTATATCATATTGGATGAAAACCTGTTGAGAAGTCTCATTACAAACCATAGTATTTAATCTAATTCAAGGATCATTCAGAAATGGTTAGCGTCCATGCCATATAGGGAAGAAAAAAAGACCGCAATTTCAGAAGCATGAGAGGCCTACAGAGTACAGACTATCACTGGACTACAATAAGGAAAAAAAACAGCAGCTGAAAAACTTCACCTGCTCACCAGCCTTGAGAGCAACTGGGCTCCGTATAGAAAACAGATAATCCCAAGAGAAAAGACCTGCTGCTCCTTTGATCTCCCATGCATGCTCTTCTGTGGTTATGCTGGAACTATGGTTGATCTGATAAAAGATATCTTTTACTCAATATCAATGGAAACAAGCTGCTTGCTTATTAACTGGAGCTAGCTCACAAATTGATTGTATTGGGAAGTCTCAAGCCTTACCAAGTCTGCAAGTGGGATCAAAACAAGGTTTTGACCGCGGAGGCGCGAGAATGCCCTGGATCTGAGTATACCGAATGCCCAAAAGAAGTCATCCAGTGTGATAGGAGATGGGAAAAGCTGCTTGTTAGGGAGGATGATTTCTTCTTCCACTTTTAGAAACTCACTCTGCACATACTCTTTTACACCCATTGTTGTGCTCAAAAGTTGGGTTCCTGCCAACCCCAATTCAATCATACTCCAGCCAAAGATTGCAACAATCAAGTACATTTTTTATATAAGATGTACATTCATTTTATTAGCTTCCAGATTACACACAGAACCCAAATCCCAGGCATAAAGATTATATTGTAACAAGTTAAAAACCATCATGGCATGTTTGATTAAAGCTTAAACTTCGATTTTCTAAATCATGTACAATATATGTCCTTGCAAGTATAGATAGGTTTGTAGTACAATGAAGCTAAACAGAGTTGTAAATACTACTAAAAAAAATGCAATCTAAGTAACTGGCTAACCTTGAAGCTCATCAAGCTCCTCTTCTGACCTGCACTGAAACCATCAACACAAACTCTTTATCAACCCCCAAAATCTCAAACCATAAAAAGGAAAATACAAAATTCCCAATGGTAGAAATTAAGCAATTAATCAGCTAAACCCACCAGAACACAGTTGAATTGGTGGATTCAGGAAGAATATCAAGGTAAGGCCTCCACTTGGAGTCGTCTCTGTACTTCTCTCTGAGCAAAAACAGAGCAACGGACACCCAAGGCTTCAACCCACTACAAACATTTCCAATCTCGGAGGCTGAAACGGCATCTGGGTTTATCCAGAGCCTCTTGGGAACCTCCAAAACGACCTCGTTTTTACCAATGTTTCTGTGGGCAACGAGCCCCATGCCTTCAGGGACCAGAGCAGGCTTTGCTGCAGGGGACTTGGCAGAGACCACGCCTTCGTCTCGGAGCCATTGCCAGAAGGTTTGAACAGCTGGAGGGAGTGATGGGTCGCATTGCAATGGGGAAGAAAGAGAGGTCACAGCAAGGACAGGTTTCTTGAGATGGGTTGGTGTCTTCGGTAACGAGAAGTGTGTGAGTGTTGTAGAAAGCTTTGTTCTTGGAGTAGGGAAGAGGAAAGTGGAGGATGAAGAAGATAAAGTGAAGAGAGTGACCATTGTTTGATTTATCTCTCTCTTAATTTTCAAACTTTGTGTTTCAGATATCTGTCTGGGGTTTGATTGATTTATAGCTTCTGCTTGTGGATAGGCTCTCTTGATGCGTTATCAACTGTTAATCAATGCTAACGGCTTTTTGTCTGAAATGGCCCCAAATTGAGCTCCAAAAACATAAAAAACATTTGACCAAAAACAAAAACCACAGGCCCCAAATTTACCAAAAGGAAAGAAAACATTTTGGGATATGGGTTTTGGTGTTGGGTTAGCAGGCCTTTGTATGATTGCAGACTTTATTAGGCTCTTAGAAATCAAATCATATGTTGTTGCTCACTATGGGCTTTATAGCCTTTCACATTTCACCAACAAAGACAAAAACAAAAACAAATGCCTTTCACCTTTCCTCATACGTGCTTTCACATATGCTTCGCTGTTTGTTTTTTTGGTTAAATACAAACACTAGTTAAAACTACAAGAGGAGTGAGTTTCTCACATACCCATTTAAGGTGTTATGGGGATTCGAACATGACCACTAATTTGCAAGCCAATGTCATTTTTCATTGGGCTAGATCTCTTTGGCCACAAATGCTTTGCTTGAAGACTAATACATGGTCTCATGACTTTGCAGAGACTCGTGTTTTTGATAAGATAGTACCCTAGAACTAGTCGTTGTGACCCTCTTTGTGAGGGGGCACCCCTTCTCCCATAGCTTCCTAATGCTTTGCTTCTAGTAGATTTTGGTCAATGCACACAACTAAAGAATTTCCAAATCTCACAACAACAAAAAATTCCTAGTCATTCAATTACACTCTCATTGACTTTTATTCTCTAAAACTTTAAAAAAAGATAAAGAAAACAAAAAGAGGCAAGGGTCAATCAATGCACACCCATTTCGGTTGCCAGATTATGAGATGATATTGTAGAGACCAGATAAGCACCTATTAGAGATTGAAATAAAATAAAAATTATTCAAAAATAAATTTCTATATTAATATGATGTGCTCAGAGTCATTGCATGCCTTAAACAAAGAGAATGAAGCCAATTACTTTTTCTTATTTATGAAATTTGGAACACTGTGATAAATAATATATTCGGTGATGTCAAGTGGTAGGAAGATTTGTTAGATGCAGCATAATCAGAGTAAAATATTCACACTAGGACTGTTATAAAGCACATTGATTTGTAAAATGCAAGTAAAAAAATTTGAAAGAGAGCCACCAACAAACGCTCGTTCTTGTATATAGATCTCTTAAATCGGTGGCCTTTGGTCCTTGGGGTGGTTGATTTGCATATTTAACACTGGTTTTGATCTACTGTCGATCTCTATTTGGCGGAGGTGGAGTTGACTGCTTTGGGCGGATATGTCATTCCCTGGTGCTGTGGATCATGTGGGTTGCTGTAAGCATACTGAAACCTCTCATGGTAGGGTGGATGATGAACGTTAATGCCCTTTCATTTATTGGTGCTTCTTGCCCCTAGCTCTTGGAGTCTGTTTCTCCACCATGGTTACTGGTTTGATTTGAGTCTTATGGATCCTCCTCATTTTCAACTCTGGGTGAGTGTTGAGCAATTTTGCTAAGTGTACGAATCACACAAGTAGTTTATAGTTAAGTAAAGTATCATTCCTACAAAGAGTGATTAAATTATTAAGTATCGGTTGTGATTAATCCCATATCTTATTTGAACGATTGAATGATGAGATTTAATTGATTAATTAACTAAAAATAATAAATAAAAGCAAGCATATAAAAATAAGGTGGTGAGTTTCAAATTATGAGAGCACTAGAGCTTTCGATTTCACCATAGGCAATTCTACCCAATTTCCTTAGCATGTTAATCCTAATAAATCTCCATGTTGACAGTCAATTTTTCCTACTTTATTCGATACTCCATCCCTGGTTATACCAAAAGTATCCATATTACCAGCCCACTTTATACCTAGTAATGAAATAAAGATAATAAGAACCCATTAAGTTCCTTGGAAAACTTACAAAACAACCATATAAGTCATGACAAATTCTAAATTGGATATCCCTATCGTCAATTTAGCGTCAAAACAATTAAATGTTGGCCAAACATTCAAAGCATTAAGCATGGTAATAGATACTCAACATGGAAAAAAAAAAAAACTTGGAATTAACATTGACTAAAGTAATTGAGTATTTGTTGAGCAATTTCGCAACCGTAAGGATCACACAAGTAGTTTAGAGTTAAGTAAAGTATCGTTCCCACGAAGAGTGATTAAATTTATTAAGTATCTATTGTGATTAACCTCAGACTTTATTTGAACGAATAGATGATGGGATTTGATTGATTAATTAACTAAAAACGATAAATAAAAGCAAACATATTAAAATAAGGTGATGAGATTTAAGTTATGAGAGCACTAGAGCTTCCAATTTCACCATAGACAATTCCACACAATTCCCTTAGCACGTTAATCCTAATTAATCTCCTTGTTGACATTCAATTTTCCCTACTTTATTCTATACTTCATCCCTGGTTATACCAAAAGTATCCTTGTTTCGTTAACGATGGCTGCCCTTAGCTCTGATTCACCTCCCCTGAGGGATAAGGGAGACTACAAAATACTATAGAGTCCGCCTATCCGCTTTTCAGGGTATGGAGCCATCGTAGCTTCGGTATAGTGTGATTTTTTCTTTCAACCATCTTTCGATTGTTAATACGATATATAAGGACTACTACTACAAATAGTACTACACCCTTGATCGTGAAATATTGATTGCTTGTTGAACCTTGTAAATTTTATATCTTGCTCTTTGAATGAGATCTCAATTTTAGCGACGGTTTTATTAGATATCTTACATTTGTTTGTAAACCCTAAACCCTAAGACAATGCTTACATTTGTCTGTCAAGGATTTAGAATTGATACTAATCCCCATCTATTCTTGAAGGAACGTTCAGCTCCTATAGGAGAGCCTCACTCTCTTACGGAGGATCTTATTCATATTAGGATGCTTTTCCAGTACCCTATCTAGATAATATATATTCTATAAAGGAGCTCGCTCCGCTCGGACAACAAACCATTACTGCTTGTCTTCATTAACCTACCCACTCTATCCCTAGTAATGGAATGAAGATAATAAGAACCCATTAAGTTTCATTGGAAAACTTGCAAAACAACCACATAAGTCATGACAAACATCCATGTCTAATCATGTAACCCATGACATCTATTACAAGAAGCAAACTCTAAATTGGATATCTCTATCATCAATTTAGCATCAAAATAATTAAATGTTGGCCAAACATTTAAAGCATTAAACATAGTAATAGACATTTAACATGAGAAAATACTATGGAATTAACATTGACTAAAGAAATTGAGTATTCATGGCTAGGCTACATGTAGCATGTGAGAACCCCTTTTTTATTTTTTTAATTATTATATATATTATTTAAAAAATATTCATACTACATATTAATTATTAATTAATATAGCTATTCCTTATTTAATATTTATTATGAAGATTTAAATGTTATAAAATCTTAAGCCTAGTATGAGATTATTTCTTTAGGTGAAAGATGACACCATTCTTGTTTTCCATGTGCACAGACTTTGAATTGGTTTTAATCAAATCATCATTGCCATGTCACCTTGCATGCTGGTAACAAGTAATGTTGTGATATCATTGGCCAAAGGGGGATGAGTCACATTATTCCATTACTTTTCTATCTTATCTTTTTGGTGGTTTAAAATATTATATATATATATATATTATTTGGTTGCATCCGTAGCCTCTCTTAAGAGAGAGAGAGAGAGATAGAGAGAGAGAGAAGATGAAGAACGTGTGTATTTGTCTTGTAATATTTCATACTTATCATGGTGAGTGAGTTATTTAATGTGTTCTAAAAGTTCTTATTTTGTGATAAATGTGAAAATCATAGATTATCATGGATTTATTCTATTTATAAATTTCTCTCTATTTTCAAGTCAAGCATGTCTAATTTGTGAAATATTTCACACAATATATATTATTTAGAGTTTTTGTGAAGTATATACTATTCATGGAACATGAAAACTTCAGTGACGAGGTATCCAAAAGATAAATGTACTAGACGGGGACATAGGGCAGTGAGGCTGATAGGGGACACATGTTGGGTACAATTTGTGAAGGATAACCAAGATATGAAGTAATGTTGTGATATGATTTGGATTGTGTATCTTTTTATTATATTTTCTAGAGTGTTTAAAATGACATTGCTTGACTGGCATATTACATAATATACTCACTGAGTGATGGTTTGCTCATCCCTCACATATTTTGTTTCTCAGATCAATTAGTGGCAAAACAAAGACAAAATCAGAGAAGTTGGAAAGCTCCTTATTCAGATCTTTCACCTATTTTAATTGGTTTCCTAACTTCCTTATTCAACAAGGGAGATAAAGAAATGAAAACCAATTAAACTAATTAAGTCTCCCAAAGCCACTTGGAAAGCTCCTCTACGTCATTTGCACCTCAAAATCAGCCCAAATAATGAAATTCCGTATTTGATTTTGCTCAGCCACGTCAGCTTAGCAATCGACAAACAGGCACCAGGTAATTGCCATTCCAAGTTGTGAAAACCGACTGCCTAACTAATAATTGACAAACAACCTCTATAATTCGATTATTCTCCATTTAAGCTCCAAATTGCCCCTAGGTTTAATTCCTTCAAAATACTCACAAAAATAGTTCAAACCAACCGTTTAACTCAAAATCATTGCAATATGACAAATAAAAGAGATATAATAAATAAGCACAATATCAATATATCAGTATTCATTGCTCCAGGTTACCGTCTCCGTCTCTCTAAAAACTCTCTCCCATGCTTTGTGGTCTCTGACTTCTCTCCCCCCAAAACTCAAATTGAAACCTCCTATTTATACACTTCCTAACTTCCTATTCTAGTTGGAAATTAATACATAATAAATCCTAAGGGCCAGTTTGGCATTGCTGTGCTGAGAAAATAATCACTGTTAGATTTGCTGTGAGATAAATTAGTTGTGAAAGAAAGCAGTTTGGCGTTTGGTAAATTTTTTGTCAAAAGTGATATTAGTACAATAATCAGTTTCTAAGTGATTGATAATTTTGTGTGTG